AATCTGAGACAGCAGGAGTCCAAAAGGTGAAGGTGTGGCTAATGTCATAGCAAAATGGGACCTTCAGGACAGCCGACAGCCTTTAAGGCTATGAGGAAAAGCTCTAGATACATAAATTCAAAAATATATAATTTCTCAACTACGCAAAATATAAGCATGTAATATGAATTATAAGGATTCATGAATCTGAAGATCAGAGGCAGCTACGCTATGAGCCAGCTTATCAGAGAGTTAAAAGGTAGGCAGATTCCTGAGTTCCAGATCAGTGCAGGACAGAGTGAGGTTGGTGAGGTAGAAATGGGAATTTCAAGGCAGGGTCCCACCCAACTAGCTTAACAAAGGCAGACAGACCTCTGAATTCTTTTGCAATGTTAAGATAAAAAAGCACGCCTTGTTCTCACTTGAGGATCAAAGGGCTGGGGTCAAGAGATGCTGATTCACAAGATAATCAAAAGGAAAACCTGAAGTAAATGACTGGATTGATATATACAATAAAAGACTGGACCTGTGTTCTGCAGGAAATGAGCAATCCAGGGAATTTTTTAGGATAAAAAGAGAGAACTGCTTGGAGAACAGAGAGAAACTCGAGACAAACAAGCAGACAGACACAGACACAGACACAGGCACACAGACACATACACACACACACACACACACACACACACACACACACACACACACAAAAGCAGGACATGGACAGAGAGATCTCTTAGAATAGCAAGTAGGCAGAACATGGACAGAGAGATCTCCAGAGAGAAAGCAGAACAGAGCGAAGCAGACTGGAAAAGCTGGATCAAGCAGAACACAAGTCGTCAGCTTGGATCCACGATTTGACTTTGAGTCATTCTTTTTGATGCTCCCAGACACCCCTTCTCTCAGAACCCCTCTCCATGCTGGGGCTGGTCCCTGGCAGTGGTGGCAGAGGGGGAGGTGGGTAGTAGAGCAAAGCTTGAATTGGACCTTACATCAGCCCTGTCCTGTCAAATACCAAGATAAAGTCAAATATTCTATAGGGCCTGGGAAGACATTAGTCATTCAGATTTTGCTAATTGTTTGGGAATAGAGTTACTGGCCATAAAAAGAGTTTTGTTTAAACATTTTAAAGGAACAAGTTCGTTGTTACAGGATCTTTCTCAGCAGGCATAGAGAAGTGTTTGGGTCAAATCATGCAAAACAAGGAAAATAACCACAAAATAATATTCAAGATGGAAGTGACTATGCCAGGCAAAGTCTCCTACTCAAAGCTCAGGCAACAGAATATCAAGGAGCGGGACTCTAGAAAACACTGGGGTCTGACAAGTCAGCAGTGCATGGAGGAGTGGAGCCAGCCCAGCAATGCAAGAAAGCACCACCCTTGCAAGATTAGCGCTCTCCCCCCAAATCCTCCCTCCTCTTCTCTCTTCCTTACCTTTCTATCCCCTTTCCCTTCTCTCCCTCACCTAACTACCCCTCCCCTTGCTCTATTAAAGTCACATTATATCTGTTTCTTTGTTGTTGTTGTTTTTTAATGGGAGTCAACAGGAGTTTGGTCACTCCTAATTCAAAGAGTCATCACACATACAAATGATATTGCTTTAGAAAAAAGGAGACAGAGGTGAGTGTGGCAATGCACACACATTGTCCTAGTACTTGGGAGGCAGAAGCAGGAAATTGCTGAGTTTGAGGATAGCCTTGAGTATAGAGAATCATCTACATAGCAAGAGCATGCCTCAAATAAAGAGAAATTGAAAAGGAAGAGAAGGAAAGGGAGGGTAGGGGAGGGGAAGGAGAAAGATAGGGCGCTTTAGAGTTGCATTGGCCATAGTGTCTTATCACAGCAATAGAAACGTATCTAAGACAGAAAGTTAACAATATTCTGGCTGTGTTTCTTTCCTTATCAGACATATAAATGTTCTCAGATTGAGACTATGTATGGTGGATGCCACACTGAACAACAACTTTTCTTGAGGGCAGCAGTAAGTTTGAGCCCCTGGCTTCGATCATCAACACCAAAACAAACAAATAAGCAAACAAACAACTGTCCTTTTGGCAAGGGCTAGCTGTGCTGACAATACCTGGCATATAGTCTACAACTTGTGTGTTTAAAAAAAAAAAGGACCATTTTTCACCTGCCATAAGGAACTCAGGGACTTTGCATGACATTGGTTTATTATCTTCTCATTCTTTCCTCTCTATGTTCTGTTTGCTTACCTGGGAACCAGGTGTCTGGCCCTTCTCTGAATGAAGCACATTGCATGTACCTGAAGCTCTCCAAGACTCTTGTCAAAAAGAAGGGGACGTGTTCAGAAGGTTGATTGAGGGCTGGGAACAGGTGGCCTTCTTTCTGAAGGATGAGATCATCCTCCATAGAGGCCAACCCCATGGTCAGGCTATTGTGTAGGTTCCGAGGCCTTAAGTAGTCATCTGAGCCTCTTTCTTCTGGACAGAGCTACAGAAACAGAGAAAACAATCTGTGCTTCTACTTGTGAATTCTGGGCTCTGCCTTGTGTCTTCTTCCTACACTCTAGTGTCTGTCTTTCTTTTCCTTTCAGTCATGCTTTGACCAAGGGGCATTGTACAACTACTCATTTGGGCTGTGGGTTTAAGTTCTAAGATGAACCTAGGAGGTGAGAGGAGACAAAGACTCTTGTTAAGGAAGTCTCACAATCAAGCAAGCAAAAGCAACTGATCGATCAGTCAATCACCAGACTCTTGACTTCTGATGCTAGTTATCTTTTTTCCTCCTCTTCTCAAAAATGAAATCTGAGGATTTGAGATGAGTATGCTAGAAAGAGCCAAGTCAAATGCAGGCAGGAATACTAACTGTCAGGAGACGGGAATGAGGAGCTGTGAGCTCACGATCTAAGCGATAATAGTAACAATACTAACAGAAGGATAGGCAACGAAAGAAGTATTCCAAATTGATGGCAGAAGAAAAAACATGATCTGTGCTTGTTATTTCTGGGTGTAAACCAACTTAGGGTCTAATTGTGCTTGGAGAAGTCCACCTTCCTACTGAAAACAATGGCCTAAGGAGAAGGAAGGAGGAAAATGCTGAGAAAGTGATACATCTGATCCAAGATCGTTCTAGGAGTTGGGTATAGAAGCTATCCATGGGATAGTCCATTAACTATGCTGACCCTAAGCAGCAGGCATAGTGGAATAGGGACATTATGGTGCAGAGGGGGAGGGGCAGGCGCCACAGGTGATTAGAGGGAAGAAGACATGAGGGGGATACGGCAGCAACAGTCCTGTAATGCAGAGGAGCAGAAGTAGGCCAGAATCTCATCCTGCAGGCAGGAAACAACGCAAGCTCACACTGGGCGGGAATGAGGGCACGGTACAGGGACACCTGGACACCAGGACACGAGTGTACAGAGAGAGCAATGATACTAGACATACACTGACAGGTGTGGTCAGAGGACAACTTACAGAACTTGGTTCTCTCTTTCCACTGTGTGGCTGTCAGAGATTGAATTCACGTCGTCTGGCTTGGCAGCAAGTAACTTTACCAGCTAGGTCAGCTCAACAGCATTTCTTTTTTTCTGGTTTGTTTGTGTTTGTTTGTTTGTTTGTTTTTAGAACCTCCCCACTGGTTTCTCAGCCAAGAACCCATTAATATTTTTTGACATGTGTTTAGTCTATGTTTTGCTAGTTGCTGCCCCAGGCCAAATGGCTAAATAGTAATAAGACAAAAAGACCTCTTTCAGGAAGTTATTAGCTTATGAGATAGGCCAATATTAGACAATTAAACATAATTTCTGGTCCTAAGTGTGTGAAAAAAAAACCCCGACACTGTAATGTTATAGGTTCCTGGAATATTCCTTATAAAGTAGATGGTTTAGCTGAGAGAAGACTTTATGGGGTGATGACCTTTGTACTGAGACCTCAAAATTGCTATGCAAAGAATTGGGGTTGAGGTGTCAAGTAACACAGGACCAAGATCAAGCCTAGGATGTCCAAGAAAGAACAGAGCAGCCCCTAGGGTTGATTCCAGGAAGGGGGAGTGTCTAAGGCCAGCAGAATTGGGCTTGAAGCATGGCATATCTCCATTCAACAAGCAGTAGCATCTACTGTGTGTAGGGCATTGCCAAGAATACAAATTGGAAATGTTGGTTCTCAACCTTCCTAATCCTGTGTCTCTTTAATACTGTTCCTCATAACTTGGTGACACCACCCCCCACCATACCATTATTTTCCTTGCTACTTCATAACTGTAATTTTGCTGTTATAGTAATGTTAAGTATCTGTGTTTCCTGAAGGTCTTAGGGTCACCACTGTGAAAGGGACGTTCAAATACCCAGGTCTAGTTGAAGGATTTTGTGCCTATAAAGGAAATTAGACATTTACAAAGGATGATAGATGGCCCTCAATTGATAGATGGCCCCCAATTAATTTTATTACATGCTAGAATGCATGTACACCCTAGACAAAACCACAATGCAGGTACGTGGGGGCTTTCTGGGGGCAGTTATTGGAACATACTCCCCTGAAAAAGACCATTTAGAGCAAGCGTTCTCCTAGACCAGGGTCACATCTCTGCAGAGGTGAGTCACCTAGACCACCTTTCCCAGAGCGTGCTCCTGCTCTCAGTTTGGGTTAGGTAGGGCAGGGCCACAGGAATCCCCCGCCTAAAACTGTTGGCTCAGAAAACCCAGACAGGGGAGCCCCGAGCCTTGGCTCTAACACCTGATTCACCCAGGGAGTCAAGGCCTGAGACACTGCCAGTAACTGGCACCAGGGAGCCCCAGGGGAAACTGCCTTTAGGGACTTGGGGACCCCCTACCGCTGCGACCGCCTCCGCCCCCGACGCGCGTGCGCAAACTGCAGGTTTGGCATCTTGTGCTCCTGCGCGAGCACGAGCGCGTGCGCGCTGGGCGTCCGGCCGCGGGGGCGAGGGCCGCTGTCCCCGACGTGCGCAGGGCCGGACAGTAATGTCTCGTCCCGGGTGGAGCGCGCTGCGAGCGCCGCCCTGGCGCCGCCTCCCGCTGCCCCGCCCGCCCGTCCGGCTGCGCGCCGTCTCCTCCCGCGAGCGCGGAGCGGCGAGCCCGGCGCGGCCATGGGGAGTGGGATGAGCCAGGTAACGTCCGGTCCCGGACGCACCCTCTTTCTGCAGCTTCCGCAGCCCTGACCCGCACAGCGTGCCCTTTGAGAGCCGGGACCCATGCTTGAGATGGTCTGTCTCCCTCCCCTGAGACCGAGCCCCTTGACGTCTGCCACCCACAGCATTGGTGAACTGGGCCAGATGGGCGGCTTCTGTAATTTCCTCTTTTCCCCAGATTTGTGTGCGCGTGCACAGATAAGCCGCTCTGATGGGGAAGTTCACGGAAACCCTAGAACTGACTTGGCTTTCGGTTGTCTGGAGCTGGTTGACCCCAGGTTGTGGGGCTTCCGTAGGGCAACCTGTTGGCTGGCTGTTGTGGCCGCAAGGCCTTTTAGAAACTCGTCCCTTGCCCCTGTGGTGGCGCAAACCCTCTGGACCAATTTCCTCACCCCCAACCCCCTCCCCAGACTGAGGATAGTCTGGCGGTGACAGTCCTCTGTGTTCTATTTGTGTCAGCCTCAAGGTTAAGGAACTTGCTGGTTCAAAGAGAAATCTTGCTAAGGTTTTAGATGCCCAGGACTAAGCCAAGTACTTCTACAAGTATTTTAAATGGTCCTTGGTTTGGTTAGCTTCTGACATTACCCCCACCTGTCTCCGCTTTACCATGTTTATGGAATCTAGCGGTGTGGCTCCCTTTCTCCCTTCCTTCACCCTTTCACATTTGTCTCTGCTTTGTGGTGAGGGGCTCTGCCGTGGTTTAGTTATTTCCATAGGAATGCCTATTGAGGCAGAAATCCAAGACGGGGGAGGGGACGAATATGTCTTTGATGGAAGCCTGCATGCGCCTGGTACACTCTCCATGTTTTTGTGTGTTGTGACTTTTGTGTGTTGGTGACTAGGATTTTTTTTTTTCTTTTGCCAGTGATCAAATTTGAAACAAACTCCCTCTCTTGGATATATGCTTGTATTATGTTCCCAGTCACCCATCCACTCTGAGCTTTCTGCTTTTAAAATTAGAGCGGAGAAGATGTCTGCCAGGGACTGCGGGCTCTGTTTGCTTCCCCACTGGTTGCCCCTTAGCTTTCCTTTGGTATTTCTAGTTGGCTCCACTGTTTACTGTCCCTTTCTTCATTTGGTTTCTAGTATTTTATGTTATGATTGAAAAAATAGGTTTAGATATACAAATGATTGATTGCCTACAGGATATTCTTTTCATACTTCTCAGCAAAGGTGGTAGTATTCATATCCACACTGTGTATTTACCTTTTATAGTAGATTCCTTAACTGTTTTATCACCATAACTATCTATATAGCCACAATTTCTAGTGTAGAAATGGAAAACTATATGTACAGAGAAATTTAGATGCTCCAGTGGTTCAACACGGTCTGTATTGAATATATGTAGTGCTTTTGGGGACAGAGAGGGGAAGCCAACACAAAGGACCAAGAAGTCCACTACAGACCTCCTCAATGTAGGACCGTGATTGTTCAGTACAAATACAGTGTGAACCAGATATATCATTTAAATTTCTGTACTGAAATTTCTTTGAAAAGTTAGAACAGATAATGATCATGTAAAGAATGTTATTAAACAATATATTTAAAATATTTCAAAACGTTACCAATAAGTAAAATTATTTATGTAACACCTTTTTTCTGTGAAGTCTTAAATGCTCATTAGGTACCTGCTATGTTTTAAATGCTTAAGAACCCATCATCGGCTGATGAGTACTGCCCACCAGATTACTATGTCTCCATACCTGTGTATGGGATGGGTGGGGTTGGGGCAGTTTATCAGTCTCTAAAGATAATTTCTAGGGTGTGGGGAAAGTAGATGTCAGCCTAAAGGAGGGTATCTTCAGTCCAGGCAAAACATCCCTGCTAGAGTAAACATCTTAATCTGAGATCATAGGGAATTACTGGAATTACAAGACAATGGATGCTGGTAACCGAGAGCCTTACCCAGAGGTCATCCGTGTATTATTGTCTAACTTGGAGCAGGGTTTCTGTTTTCCCTAGCTGGGAAAAGAAAAAAAAAAAGAACAATTTATTTACAGAATCAGGAGGTGCTAGTAATGGAAATGTGATGCTAAAATTACAAGCAAAATGTGTGGTGCCTTAGAATTTAAGAGTGTCATTTGGGGGCAGGAAATGAGGACCTGTAGGCTCTGACATCTTGTTCTCCAGTAACTGCCAGTATTGTTTAGCTCACAGCATTCTCCTGACTGGTCTAGTGGCCTCTTCCTCCCTGTGCCTTTCCTGGCAGGCAAGGATATTGTCCTGGCATTTAGTGGGAAGCCTGCTATCCCTTTAGTTGGCATTTTCCAAGAGAAGCCCTCTGTTGCTAAGAGGGCAGGAATATCAAAAAGCCCAATTTTTGCTTCCTGGATTCATAGATGCTTAAAACTAAAAGACCTCCAGTGGTTAGCATAATCCAGTCTCCTTTTTCTCTCTCAGATGTGTAAAAAATGCCTCTCCAGTTACTGCTCAGATTCTTAGGAAAAGCAAAGGAGAATTTTAGGTGATTTTTTACAATCTATAAGTAGTATATGGGTTCTATGATCAGAGTTCTTGGTTTTGTCCACTGCTGAGCTCAGTACTCCGTCAGGCTGGGATGTGCCTGACACCTGTTTAGAGTGACTTTCTGTGAGACAAGAAAGGAGTGAGGTAAGGCTAGTCATCCGAAGGAGATGCATGCTCCTGGCGTAGAGAAGGGGCCTCAGCGACTGCTCGCTTGACATTTGGGATGGTATTTGTTGGCTGTGGAGGCCTTAGTGTCTCACGGGGAGCTAGATCAGTCTCTGCCCAGTGGATGCCATTTGTGTTCCACACTGGGGCAACCTGAAATCTCAGGATCTTGCCTGTCTCTCCCCACTCCCTCCCCTGGGGGTGGGGACTTGTTCCCAGTTGCCTACTTTTGGTCTTGTGTTCTTTGACTCAGAATCTACTGTGACTTATTTGACCTAGAACTGAGTGGGGTTAACCCTGTGGGAAGTAATGTTTCAGTATGGGGAGGAGCTGGAAGTATCTCTTTTTTGTCCTCCTAAACAGTTTCCATTGTCACCAGCTAACTTGGCTGTGTTACCTATCCATCCATCCATCCATCCATCCATCCATCCATCCACCCATCCACCATTCAAGTTGTACTACTTCACACCTGCTGCTGCCTAAACTCAGTGTTAGTTCCTGGAGTGGGGAAAATATGGAAACATGAAGCCTCTCCCTTAGGCATTCTTTCTAGTCATGGAGGACCCACTTTAGAAAGTGAGCATGCTCGGGGCTGGTGGACAGATAGTGCACCATAATAATACTATCTTTCCTATACCCTCTGAATCTTGTGTCCTCTTTTAAAAATCTTTTTAAATTGAACATAGTCCTCATTTATAGTAGGCAAGTGCTCTACTACTGACCAGCATCTCCAACCCTTTTAGATTTATTTTGATTCAGGATCTTGCTATTATGGCCCATGGTGGCCTTGAACTTGTGATCCTCCTGCCCTAGACTCCCAGGTAGCTGGAATCACAGGCATGTGCTTTGGTGCCTACTCTTTTTTCCTTTAGCGTTACAATCTTACTTCACATCTGACAGAACATATGGCTTAAGGCAATAATGTAAGAATACACAAGGACACTTAGATATGTCTCTTTATAAATGCATACTGGATAAATCTGCGCCTAAAGGATATTGAAAAGTCTGTGATATTTCACCTCTCATGGAATTTACCAGAGTTTTTCCAGATGTCCTTGGGTTTAAAACCCAGAAAATCCTTTTTGACCTGGGACAAATCCTGATGCCACACACACTCAAAATACCACTTTATGCCAGCTGCTTGATCAGGAGTTTCTCACGTCTTTTTGGGTGGGGATCTCAGATTTTGTGGCATCCTGAAGTACTAAGGAAAGTTTAAAAATAAATCCAAACATTCCCTGCTTCAGAAAGCAGAATTCATCCAGGCGTAAGGAAAGGATTTGAGATTTTTGCACTTCTGTGAGGCTAATGTTAGAATTGAGTAATATGTCAGTGTGAAGGGTATTGATCAAAAGATGCTATGAACCTCTGGGTGCTTTCATGTGATCCCAGAGTCCTTCTGCCTTTCAGGGTTCTGCTTTTGTTACATTGTATGCTGTCTGCTGACAGACAGGCACCTTTCTGACCAGGGGCTTCCAGAGAGCCAGTTCCTCTGTGGTTTGCATTGCTTATCTCACCAACTCCCTATCATCATGCCGCTCGGTAGAAAGGGCTATGTCCTGCCTTGGTTGGATGTGGTTCGTGACCACACAAAGGTATGTTGAGTTTAATTCTCAGTATATCAGTGCAGGGAGGTGGTAGGACCCATAGGAAGCATTTGAGACATGAGACAGTGCTCTCATTAATGGGTTGATGTTTTCCTCTCAGGAATGGGTTAACTGTTGTGGTTCAGCCTCTCTCTTTCACATGCACAAACTTGCCATCCCACCACAAGTCCATACCAGAAGCTGAACAAGGCACTGGGGCCACGTTCTAGGGCTTTCAGAGCAGCGAACCCAACTAAACCTTCCCTCTCTAGGCTGCTCAGTCTTTGATGCTCTGCTGTAAGCAACAGAAAATGAGCAGATACCTGCCTGCTTCTTCAAGGTCAGCCAGAAAGTGAGGAAACCAAAGTTCCAGATATTGATAACTATGGTAAAGAAAATAAGACAAGACAAAAGGACAGACTATGATACAGAGTTTGTGAACAGAAGAGACATCTCTATAAAGACCCCTGGGCAAATGGCAGGGAAGGCGGCCCAGCAGAGACAGAGTGACAACTCTGAAGGACAAAGATGATCAGGACCAACTCTATGCTTATTCTTCTAGAGAAGCAAAACATCCCCAAGTCACATGATAGACTATTTTCCCCTGACCCATCCTGCTGCATACCAGGTACTGATGCCAGTCTTACTCGCTGTCTGTGTTTGCACTGGTCTCCTGTGTTGTCCCAGTGTACACTGCTCTGCAGGCTGCTCTACACACCATCTTTCTGCTGGAAAGACATTCCGGTTGGTTTGCTTCCTTCTTTCTTTCTCTGTGCCTAAAGGTTACCAACAGTAACGACATCAGCAAAGTGGTGAGTCAGACTTACTGTCCTCTTTCAATCACAAAGCTGACTGGTTGAGAAGTCTTCCCAAGTACTATTTAATCTGTTAGAAACCTGCCTTCCTTGATTTTGTTTTGTAACTCTATGTGGAAGAGAGCCAGAGTCTGAGTACAGACATGGGTGAGAACAATTTGCTCTCTACTCCAGGCCATGACGTTCTAGCTCACTGTCTTGTCCAGAAAACAAAGTTAGAAGATGACAGACACAGCCCTGTCCTTTCCTGGCAGTTTTAAAATGCACACAAAGTCCTCACCTTCCATGATTGTCAGTAAACACTTCTTTATCCAGACTCCTTCCTCAGGCTCTCTTTATGGCCTACTTAGTTTTACATAGTTTTCAGCAAGAAATGTAAATCTTGTGCCCTGTCAAGAAGACCTATCAAAATTGAGCTACCCCATGTCTTAACTCTCAGCCCCATCCTGACTGGTACCTTCTCCAGTCTCGTCTACATCCCAGAAGGTGACATAGTAGACCTGTAAATTCAGCTGTTAAGACATAGGCTAAATCCACTAATGGAGTCATAGCCTACCATTTGCTAGATCTGTGGTAGTTTTGTAGCATCTGTTGCTTAAGCACTGTTTGCCTGTGTCTCATTCTTGTACTATATAATTAGGCCTGCAATGGCTGCTTGTATCCCAAGGACTTATGACATTCCTTGTTTGTCATTATTCCCTAAACAAGAAAGTGCACAACTGTTGGCACAACATGTACAGTATACCAGCTTCTGTTGTCATCTGGAGATGACCGAACATGTATGCTTATTAATACAGTGCTGTTTTCATAAGGGACTATGTATCATTTAATGGACCTATGTCCCAGAACCAGTCCTTGAAGGACCCTGATGCGGTGGCACATAGAGAGGTCACAGACTGTTCATTGGCTACACTCAGACCACAGATGGGCCTTCTTAATGTATCTTACAGTTAAGGAATTTTAAAAAATAAGGTAAAAATGGCTGTTTTCCATAAAATCTGGATACCATCACTTGGGAGCCCTGCCTGTGTCCATGGGGCTAAGTTAGAGGAATGTTATTGCCATCTCCTCAGGCATAGGTGACACTGGGGGACACACTAAGAGTAGGACTGAGACCGAAAATACAGGAAAGCCAGTCTTGGAAGTGCCTGGGTGCAGAACCTACCTACAGTCTATGCTGAAAGCTGTACATGAAGACTGGCGCTTAGGAGGACCCAGTAAGGGCAGGGAGGAGGAGCAGGCCACAAACTTGTCTTCCCACAGTCTGCCCCTTTTTTTTGCTATTGAAAGTTCATACTAAAAACCTTGGCTATAAGCTGTGAAATCCAAATATAGCTACTTTAGGAGAACAGGGCAAATGGCCAGGAAGGCTGGGGGACAAAACTCAAGGGTTATCATACCTGGAGCACAAGGAGTCAGTTGAGAGCATTTTAGTTGGAAATCCAAGATGTCAATAGCACAGCCAGAGTGCTTGTGTGCCACCAGCTCACTGCCTGTGTTGCCATGGGATACACTGAGTGGCTTCTGAATTATCATTCATGCTCAGATCACATGCTCATATTAGAGCTGTAAAGTCCCTTGGGAGCTGGTATCTGTCCCCCTGTGGCGTCTGTAGTGAGCTCTTTAGAATTCCAAAGGAAGGTGAAAATGTAAAACCTACCCTCGAAGGTGTCTACTGGTCCCATTGACAGAGGTGCTGTGGTAGAGAAACCCTATATTTCTCACATGATGTTAGCTTTTTTTTTTCCTCAAGGACATTTCCAAGGTTCTTGGTAGCATTTCATAACACTTAACCTAGAGCCCTGATAATGTGGAATATCCTCAATGCAGGACCAACTCTCCTACGTCACCTCCACTGCCTGTCCTCTCTCCTCGTTCCTGCATAGGATCCATGTCTTCTCTTCTGGGCTAGGCCTTGTTCGCATTCCACAGGGTTCAGTATAACCAAAGAATATAGCTAAGCCAGTTCATGGACTCTGCAATCCCTGGCATCTACCAGTGAGCCTCCTCTTAGTGATTTTTCTTTCCTAGCCACTTCCTCATTCTGTCTGTTTTATGGAGAGTTGAGTTAACCTTTCCCTTGTCTTCCATAGAGTCTTCCTTGCCATTAAAATACTATCTTTAGTTATGGGTAGGTGTGCGCATCTTCATGTGGTTGTATGTATCTGAGTACAGGTGCCCAAGGAGGCTGGACCTGTTGGATATCCTGGAGCTGTAGTTAAATTGTCCTAGGCTTGGCTGGGACATCTTGTGTGAGCCTCATCTTTTGGGCAGCAGCACTGTCCACTTGCCATCCTGTGACAGTCATGCCTGTGTCTCTCTTCCAGATCCTGCCGGGCCTGTACATTGGCAACTTCAAAGGTGAGTTATTATTCTCTATTTCTTTAATGAAGATACATACATTATGTATCACAAAATGTACCATTCTGGCTATCCATGTACAGGCCAAAAGCCCTAAGTATCTTCTTCACATGGTTGTGTAACCATCATTACTATCTATTTCCAGAACTTTCCCTCATCCCAGATTGAAAATCCCCTTGCCCCTCCAGAGCTCAGTGGGTTGGGCACATGTGACTCTGGCCAAGTCTTGAGTGTCTGACACTACCCTGGTAATACCTTTTTTAAGGACCCTAGGAAGATCTGATTTCAAACTTATGGGACTTTATGCTGTGTGCACAGCTCATTGCCATAGTGGCTGTGGTTGTGGATTTCCAGTTTGAATGTCCTGAGTGTCCAGTGATTTGAGATCAGTATGCACCAAAGGTCCACTGTCATCATCCAACCAAACTGATGAAGGATTTCATGCATGCTCAAGCGGACAGCTGAGCTTTATGGGAACGAGTAACCTCAGAGTAGTGCAACCATGCAGATGTCCTGTGATACAGCAGAGAGCAGGCAGGTGCCACAGCAACTCTGGCCAAGTCTGGCTCTTCCCTGTCTTCAGGGACCCAGCAGTGCATTGGGTCACGTGTGGTAGAGGGGCCCTCCTTATTCACAGATTTACAGTTTTATCTTCAAACCACAATTTAAAATGGTAAGCTGTTACAAAATATATTTTATGGGTAATGAAACATTTTGAGTTAATTGTGGTCATAGTTGCACAACTCTGAATGTGCTAAAAACCACTGGCATATATGTATACTCTTACAAGGGTGAATCTAATGTGAGTCATACTTTTACTTGACCATCATCGTGTATTATAGCACAATAAAATTAAATAACTGTTAAAAATAATCCATCAAATATATTGTCCCTTAACATCTGCTACGGACTAGCTCCAGGACTGCTCACAGAAACCAAAACCCAAAATCAAATTCTTTATTTAAAATGATGTGGCATCCACACTGAACCCCTGCGTGTCTCCTCTGCAGCTAAAACAAACATCTCTAGAAGATTGCCTAATACAGGGTGCATGTTGTGTGAGAGTTATACTGTATGCATAGTTTACGGAACAGTGGCAAGAACACGTTTGTATATGTTCAGTCCAAATGCAACTTTCTCAAAGATCTTTGATCTAATTTTGGTTGAACCACTGGCTATAGATCTCCTGGCTATAGAGAGGTGGCTTTGTATGATGTCAAATAGTGATTGCTAAGATGTAATCTATAGTGAAGAAGTGGAAGATCATCATGTTAGGTGAAATAGCCAGACTCAGGAATACAAGTGTATCTTCCCCCCCCCCTTCTCTCTTACACACACACACAGAATGAGAAGCATGCGAGAAGGGTAAAGAGAAGGGAGATGATAAAGCACAAATCAACAGTGGGGAACGGGTTAAATATGATTAAAGTACTTTATATGCATCAGATGTCAGAATGAAACTTTATTTTGTGCAAATGTTAGCTGCCAGTTAGTTTTTCTTAAAATTTAAATTCTTATGGACTTGATCTGGAGGAGCGCTGAAGAACAACAGTGTCATGAACCCTGCCCCATCCGGCTTTCCATCCAGCTGCCTGCGGGTTCCAGCGTCTTGAGCTCTACATGTCTAAACTGCAAATACAGGAGGAAATTGTGACATCCTACGTTGATGTGACTGTGTGGGTGATTGTGTGGGTGGGTTCCTGAATCATTCCTTTTATTTTAATCTTATTTATTAATGTGTTTGAGGGGGTGGGGAATATGTGGACATTCATGCTATGCTGCCAATGTGGAGGTCAGAGGTCACCTTTGAGGCTTTGGTTCTCTCTTACCTTTGCAAAGGCTTCAGGGATTAAGCTCTGGCTGTCAGGCCTTCAAAGCTATTGACTTCACCTGCTGAGTCATTTAGCCAGCCCTTCCCTACACAGTTCTTTCTCCTGTTTGTGTTGGTCAGTTCTTTGTTACTATAACAAATATCTGGAGTAATCAGCTTAAAAAGAGGAAAGGTTCACTTTACTTTCTGTTGAGGAGGTTTCAGTTGACCCATTGCCTTTGGAACTGTGTCAGCACATCTGTTGGGAGTGTCCCAGGAGAAGATTCTGTTCACCTCATGGTAGCAGAAAGTAAAACAGAGAGGAAAAGACTAGTGTCCTGTTATCTCCTTCAAGGACATGGCCCAAATGACTTACAAATCACCTGTTGATGGACCCATCACCTTCCAGTGGCACTAACCTAAGGATCAAGCCATTAACACATGATCCTTTGGAAGGCATTCTACACTACATTTTATAGGACAGTGTGATTCAAAGCTGTGTTACCCCAATTTATTATAATGGTGCAGGGTTGTGGTTGAGATCGCTGTATGCAAAGTATAAAGCTGCTTTTCAAGATGGAATTTGAAGCTTAGGTGGTCGAATTAATGAGAATCTTCAAATTAAAAGCAAACTTTAACATCACATTTAAAGACCCTTCCCTAACATTGCAGAATATTTAGAATATTGGTTCTTAGTTTTTGCTCTATTCCAGGGCTTGTTGGGAATGTACATGACCTAGTTTGACTGTAGCCCTAGAACTAGACTGGAACCTAAGAACTAGCCTTTCTGTTGTGCCTCCCAGAGAGGTTGTGTATGATAAACCTTAGACACACACGCACCATGGAGAGTAGACATTCTCTCATTATTCCACAGCTCAATAAGCCTGTTTACGGCATATCCCACCATATACATTTCTGGCTGTAGATGTTTGTACAGAGTTTCCAGAGTACTTAAATTTGGTGCAGGCCCTGGGCCACTTCCTACGTCATCAGATCTTCTCATGGAACATCATGGAATACTCGCTTTTTGGTCCTTTTTTTTTTTTTTTTAATCCCTTTGAAGAAGTTGTCTAGGGCCAAGCACTCAGAAGAGCAGGACTTCTTTCTGGCTGAACTGTTTTGTAGATTAGCTGAGGTTTTAAACTCAGAGCATCTGAAAATTAGTCTTTTCCTACAAGTGGGCACATTAGAAGGGAATATAATTTTGCTGCCATAATTTCTTATGAAAATAATTTAATACCCAGCTGATAATTCTGTGTGGAATTTCTGGAAAACGTTCTGGATTATTATTGGTTTGATTTTGCTGTAACGTCGATATAGCTATTATAAACCATAGTCCCATCTCAAGCTTTACTTCTCTCAGGGTAAGGACTATCCATTTTACATCTCTGACTTCTTTAGCAAATGGGTTCTTGGATTTTACATTCAACTTAAGGAATCAGTAGGAGGTAACTGTGTTTTTTTAATAAACATGCTTGATAATATGTGTCTCATGTAAAAACATACTACACAAGTGTACTATACTACATCTTGTATTTCTTTTAACAGCTTTCCTAATTAAATTTTTTTTTTTGTTTTGGTTTTTCAAGACAGGGTTTCTCTGTGTAGCCCTGGCTGTCCTGGAACTCACTCTGTAGACCAGGCTGGCCTCGAACTCAGAAATCCACCTGCCTCTGCCTCCCAAGTGCTGAGATTAAAGGCGTGCGTGCGCCACCACCGCCCGGCTAAAGTGGTTTTTAATCTGAGTACAATACTTGAACTCAAAAGTTACATCAGTCAAAAATAAATTAAAACAAAACATATAAAAGCAAAAGTCCTAATTTCACCAGTCTAGATTACTGTGGATATGATCAGTTATAAAGTTTTAAGAAAAAAAAAAATCTGCAAGTTGTGTGCTGTTTTCTGCCTAGGCTGTAAGAGCGGTGAACTCAAAGAGACTATTAAAATGTCCGACTCTTATCTTTGATGGCAGATGCAAGAGATGCAGAACAATTGAGCAGAAACAAGGTGACACACATTCTTTCTGTGCATGACACTGCCAGGCCCATGTTGGAGGTAAGAAAGAACCGTTGGGGGCGGGGGGCTGTCTGTCTGTCTCTGTGAGTGTGTGTGTATTTATACTCTGTGAAGTGCACATGACATTAATGAAAGCAGCCATAGTCCGACAATAGTATATCCCTGTGGACAGCTCACTTTCTTCAGGTTAGATGCCTGGGCCCACTTGAGGACATGCTGTGCCCTGACAGAGAGGGCATCCTCATTGTACTTCTGCTACATTGATTGCTTGACTCTTTCTTCAAAGTGCTTCAAAATAAACAGACATTGCATTTCCTTCTGAATATTAAGAATATTTACAATTTGGAGCCTAGTGGTAAGTCATACCTGTACTTCCAGCACTCAACAGAAGGTGTTTTCAAGTTCAAAACCAACCTGGGGTACATAGTGAATTCCAGCCTGGTTTAGGTTACAGAGTAAGACCCTGTGTTAATAATTAATTAATTAATTAATTAAAATTTAGGCTGAGGGCATCTTGGTGGTAGGGTAGCCTAGCACACATGAAGATCTAGGTTGCATCTCTATAACTACAGGAAAAAAAAAGAGCTAAATAAGTAAAACCTATTGCTGTTTTCAAAATTATTTCTGCTTTGGTAGGATCCTGACGAATTCAAGTTGCTCATTTCCTGGTGATGTTTGCCACAAAAGTTCTATTACCATTTGTTTTAAGGAGTAAAGGACAGGAAGGCAGGCAAGCCACCCCTGTGATTTTTTTTTCCCCAGGCCTGGTCTGAATGGGCAACATCAGTAGAGAGCTGTTTTAGGTGGGGGTTGGGGGGGGTAAACAGGGTGTGTCTGCTTGTACACTAATTCCAAAAACATCTTCAATTTTACTCTGATGGACGGTTTGAGCTGTTGAACAGGAGCAAAATCTATTTCTGTTTCTGCCGAGACACAGCCCAGGTTAACCTCGTTTTAGAAAACAATGCCTGTGTGGTTGTGATACATTTTTTTCTATTTTAGGGTAGGGTGTTAGGAAGGGAGGGGTACTTGTTCTGAAACAAAGAATCCTGGTTCAAGCTGTTTTCATTGAAAGTCATATCATGCAAGAATAGGTAGTATGTACTACATACGTACATATGTATGTATGTACATATGTATGTATGTACATATGTATGTATATATGTATGTGCACATATTTTCCTTGGCTTTGGAGCTTCCAGGTTTGAGCCAGTACAAAACAAGCTAAAGTGTATAGATGAGAATGGAGGCTGAGGAGTGGTCTGTAAGCCTGCAGCAGATGGTCACCACTGTCCAGATTTCCCCCGTGCTCTCTCCAGTTGGAAGCTCACACTTTCTTCTGCTGTTTCCATGGGTGTTGGCTAGGGCACTGTGTTAGTCTCAGTGGGAATGAAAGCTTCTTGTTGTTGTTGTTGTTGTTGTTGTTGTTTTTGTTTTGATTTTTTTTAGTCCAACAGTTACATTGAAAATAGTTATTCCTATTTTAATTAATTAATTAATTAATTAGTAAAACAGTATTAATTGTTTAATCTGTTAATGATAGTTTGTGTTTAAAATATAGACATGTAAACTGCAAAGTGGTCATGGCTGACTTCCTCTTAAATCACAAGATGAAGCTTGAGGTTTCCTTTATTTTAATAAATTGCAGAGCAGTCCTTCCCACCCTCCCCCACCAAGTCTTCCTTATTATTGTATACTAATTTTAATGGGACACATTGTCATATACGCAGTGCTCTCAGTCCCTTGACTTCCACCTACATAAAAGGTCTTGAAGTGTTAGACGTCTAGTGGGACAACTCCAGCCGTTCTATCCCACAGAGAAACTCTGGCTGGACTGGAAAGTAAAACAGGTGGGATTGTAACCCAGGTATAAAGAAGCTCCTGTGTGCATGAACCCCAGAGCTCAGGGCAGACTGTGGGCCTCCATTCTGAACAGGTTACATGCCCATCGTGTTCTGTGTACTTTGTCTCTAGGGACAAACTGCCTTTACAAAGAAAAGAGGGGAATGGAGAAGGGAGTCACTGTGCCCCTCATTACAGTTCTTGTATTTTCCTGACATGATCCTCCTGCCCTTACAGTTTACCAGCTGTGCTTTCAGATTCCTCGGAATGTTGTCATAGCCATTGGATCCTATCATCGCTGAGCCTGATAGAAAGCACTCATGTTTACTGAAGGTCACACTGCGGTTTACAGCGTAGTGTAGTCTAACATTGCAGATCTTGCTGCAATCGTTTGGTATGTCATAGGTGATTCGTTACTATGTTTCTATAAAGCTGCTTCACAGCCTCTCCAGCTCTCTCTGTGGGGTGTTTTGTAGAGTGGTGTTCACAGTGATTAAGTTACTGGAATTCCAGATGTTTAAGGACTTTGTTTAGCCATATTCTCTCTGAAATTCCAAAATCCAGCTCCACCTTCCAAATTCAGATCCACAGCCTATAACCAATCTGGAGAACAGGCTAGGAAGTTATTAGTGTGGGGTCTTCCACAGCTCTGAGTTCTGCTGGCCCTGATCCTTGAAGGGAATGGGGAAGGAGTTTTCTGAGAACTTCAAAGCCAGACATATTTATGAAACTCCCCTAGCTTAATCTGGGCAGCCTTTCTCTGGGATGAACAGGAGGTAAGAAGGTGGGCTCTTCCCCAATGAGGGGATTTGGGTCCAAATTACACCCAGGCAGGATTTCTCAAGACTGCCAGGGAGCCATATCTGGGGCTCTATGGTGTGAGTACTTCTTGGGTCATGTCAGTAAATCTTGGGGTTTTAAGGCATTGAGGTTTTTGTCATCAAGGCCTTTAGTTAGGGTCTTCAGACCAGCTTTCAGTGCAAGAGAGGCCAAGTGAGAGCATGTGGTCACATCATTGAACCTGCTTCAAGAGTTAATGAGGGGATTCTCTGAGGATAAGCTGCTGGGGGTATGTGATGTCATGCTTTGGGAAAATGAGTTTAGGGAATTTAGGATGTCATAGGCTCCTGAGAAAATCCTGGTTAGGCTGGGAGGATAAACCTTTACAAGTTGCAGTATAGACATCTGTTCAGTCTTTCTGAACAAGGATCTTGTGTGCATGCTTATTGGTATGATACATGATCTCCAGTCCAGTGACCAAAGGGTCCTCAAGCATCTGCCATGCTAAGGGCCAGACCCTGCCCCAAGACTGCCTTTGTACAGATTGTACCTCTCCATATTGATTGACTTTTATGACTGTGAGAGTCTGTCATAGGCAAAAGCGAAGGCTCTGTAGTTTTAGTCCTACTGGATATATATCCTTTCTCGGTGTAGCAATCTGTTTTTTGTCACAATTCCAGACCAGTACAATGTCCTAAACTACATCCACCACACAGGTGAGTTGAAACTTGCTTAGTTGGTTTTCACTATGCATTTATTTTTCAACTAAATAGGAAGCTTATACTTTATTAAATTTTAGTTGTACTACATATAACACACCATTATTTGGTTGATTTTGGAGAAAGTTTCCAGAGTAGCACTTGAAGTGTCTAAGACTTCTACCACCATGCCTGGAGGGAAAGACTGAAAACCACTGATCTCAGGCCTCCAAAGTGGCTGAGCCACTGTCTTTGGTCTTCAAGTGGAACCAGGAGTTTCTGATGACACAGGGTTTATGTGGCCTCTCAGACATGGAATAAGACAGTCAGCTCAGGGAGAAAAGCCTGGAGTTCCAAATGCAGTCTGGTTCTTCAGAAAACTGTCTGAGTAGGTCTTCCAGAATGAAGACACTTTGCTTGCTTGCTTATTGAAATTCAAGAACAATTCTATTACTGTTTAAGAGAAAAATCACCCAGCACAGGCAAGCTGCAAATCTCAGTAACTGCCTCCAAGAGGAGAATGGTAGAGAGAAGAAAAAAGCCACACCGGTATGCTGGGGTGGAAGTCAGACACGAGGCAGCCACACAGCCATAGCTTTAGAGAAAAAGTAAAGAAGCCCAGTGTCAGGGAAAGCAGCTTTGAACCCACAGCAAGAAAACAAGGAGAAGCTGACTTTTCTGAGTAATTCAGAAAATGTCCGAAGCTGTACAACTGTGGCCCTGTAAGCTACTGTCTATGGATAGGAACTCTGGGAAGGAACGGTATCTCATTAAAGGACTGGTTTTTCTGCTTATTTCTAAAGTAAGCCTGCCTTCCCAGGAGTGGTTTCTTTGCTAAGCAATTGGCCAGGACCAATTGGACTGTTAGGTCCCTACCCAGGCCAGAGATTCTGCTCTCTTTACCAAAGGATTTCCTTTAATGGCCTTTCACTGCTACTCTAACATCCCCCTATTCCTTGCCCTGTCCTACATTTCTGAGGAGGTAACCTGAAAATAATTTAGGGACCAAGTCAGGCTCAGAGAAGAATGAAGACCCTCAAAAACATCATAAAAGGGGCTGAAGAGGTGGCCTGGTCAGTAAAGTGCTTGCTTTAGAAGCATGAAGACTTGAGTTTGGACCTGGATAAAAATACCAGGCACCTCAGTGCACGTGTGTAACCCCAGCACTGGGGAGGTAGAGGCAGGAGGATGGCTTGTTGACCAGCCAGTTTTAACTGAACCAGTAACCTCCAGGTTCCCTAGAGACTGTGTCTCAAAAAGTAAGGCGAAGAGTCATTAGATACCTAACATTGATCTCTGGGCTCTTCTTGTGCACACTTCATAACCAAACATGGACACATATTTCACATACAAAAATAAAGTAACACATAATTGTAGGGATCTCACTCACTAGGAACCCCACTCCCTCTCCCTCTGAGATTCTAAGGAGCTGTAATTCTCTTTCTATTCCCACTGCTTCTCTCTTCCTCTCTCTCTCTCTCTCTCTCTCTCTCTCTCTCTCTCTCTCTCTCTCTCTCTCTCTCTGCATGCGCGCACTCTGTGTGCGCGAGTGTATTGTTAGAAATCAAATTTATGACTTCATACGTGCTAGACAGGTGCTTTAACATGGAGCCACACCCCCCCAGCCCAGCTACTACCTTTTATCTGACAAATCTCAGCAGAATTGGGTTTCTACAGGTGATCTCTCCTGACTCCATCATTGTAAAACTAAAAAGTCCA